AGTGACAGCAAATCAGACAGTAGTGATAGCAGTGACAGCAGTGATAGCAGTGACAGCAAATCAGACAGCAGTGACAGCAGTGACAGCAGTGACAGTAGTGATAGCAGTGACAGCAGTGAAAGCAATGACAGCAGTGACAGCGACGAAAACAGCAACAGTGCATCTGACAGCAGTGATGAAAGTGACAGCAACAGCAATGGCAACAACGGTAATGGCAACAATGGAAGTGATAGTGACAGTGATAGTGACAGTAACGGCAGTGACAGTCATCACTCGACCAGCGATGATTAGAACAAAAGAAAACCCCACCAGATTCCTTTTGTAAAAAGTTTGCTGAGTGATAGGATATCAATAATTCCAAAAAAATAAGGAAAGGGGAGAAATAAACAGAGGACATGTAAACATCCACAGAAAACAAGGGGAATTAAATCAAAATGGCAGATTTGGAACCAAGTCCCAACTCCCTCAGAGAGAAAATCTGAATGCATGACCTGTGGTGCATACCTGTTAAAACATATTCTGAAAAGAGTTTGCTTAGCAAAGTGTAAATCTAAACATAAAAGAACAATTAAAATATTATTTAATACTTCACACAGAAACCTCAATTAATCACGCACTACATGATAACTTCAACAGAAATGCCAAGCGCTTTGGAGAATGTAGCAAGTAAACTCTTCTTATAAACAACCTGTAGCTTTGCTTTAATCTTTCAGTAATTCTATATTCTGAATAGATGGTCCGCTTACTGCTGAGTAAAAGATGCTGTTACTATGATACCCAGCTTGGCTCCTAATTCATTTGCTTATTCTATGGAAGAAATGTACTTGTAATATGAAAAAAAAAAGCAGCAACGATTTAACCTATATGGACCATGGAATTAATCTTTGTAATTATTGAGTAGCGTAGTTCCAAATTAGGGACATTCTAAAGTGTTAGAGAGGAATTCAGAGGCTGGGTTAAACAACAAAATCTGAAATCTAGTATTACATTCCAGCAAACCACTGGACATTCAGCACAAAGTCTCTAAAACTATTGACAAACAGATGCAGTGCTTACAATAGTGTCTTGCCTTTAGTAACCACTGTCCGAATACTAATAAATAAAAGAATACATGAATGAAGGACTCTTGGAAAGTTTCACCTTTTGAACTCCACGTTCAGAACTCCGTTAAAGTGAAATCAGTTACTTGTCTTCCTCTTCAGTCTCACCAAGTTAAACTTGGTTCACATTTCCATTTAAACTTCCACAAGCCAAAAATTCCAAATCAGAACCTCAGACTCCCTTCTTGCTATTAATCTTTTAAATAAAGCCAACAGTTGCTGGTGGGTAATGCTTGGGAACTTCTTTTTTTATATGAGAATCGTATATGCAGCTAAAAGCTGAGCATGGACCTTTCAGCTTTTGCATGAATGAGGGTAAATCTTAGTTTTGAGATGAAGCCCAAACATTGGAACACGAGGATCTTAAAGATATCTGAGACTAGAGAATGATATTTCGTAGGGTGGAGATATAATTTCTCACCCAAACTAGGATACTTTTGAGAGTTAAAGGGAGGCTATCAATAATTTCTCGGGAACAGGAGGTGTAAATTGGGATTGTCCGGGGACACTTGGAGATACAATGACCATAGCCATAAAACTTCAGGGTATTTTCTCAAGGTTTAGTAGTGAGGATTGGTCATTTCTCTCTTTTTTCCACTTAGGTAATTATTTTAGATCTGTTCTAATTCAAGGGTAAATAGTGAAGTTTTGGGTGCAACTTCTTTTATGTTAATTTTCAACCAGTCATTAGTTGACAATTTGTGTTCTAATATTAGGCATATTTTACACAAAGAGTTTCAGTAGTTGTTTTTTTCTGCTTCCTTTCTCCTTTATGCAGAGTTTCTTAGTTAAGTTTCGATATTGCAAGGAATATTGATGAAAGCTTTAAAAATACTGCTATTCAAAAACTGCTTGGTAACTCAAAATACTGTAAAATTTCAGGTTTCAATATATCACAATCATGTAAATGGTCTCAAACTGCTTTGGTGAAAATGTGCTGTAGGTTTTTAACTCCTTTAGGCTTCAGGGTTTTTTAATTTATGAAGTGCAGCTTCTAGTGCCTGTCGCACTTTCAAAAGGTTGTTACGGGCACTAAGTCAGGCAATGTATGTGAAACTCTTTATAAATTGTACAGGATATGTAAATGAAAGAGATAATGAATTTTGGTGCTATAATAAACATCTATTTATATGATTGTTCACAAGGAAAACTCTCTTCATCTTAATGAGTCTCTCCACATTTTTAAAAATTTGCTATTTTATTTGAAAAAGTAATACATGTATATACACAAAAAAATAAAGCACTATAAAAAGATATGCAAAAATATTAAATCTCCATCATCCCAGACTCCCAGTCCTCCATTTCTGTCCCCTAGAGGCAATTCCCATTACTAATAGCCTGTGGAACTTTCCAGAAATATTCTATGCACATATAAGCACATGCATCCTCCTTTTAAAAATACATGGAAGTCTACTATACACAGTGTGCTTATTTTACTCTGGTTAACCTAAGAATATACCTTGAATATTGGTTCATAGCACACAGACTGACACTCTGTGTTGTAGTTCATTTTATGAACCGCCATAAGTATTTAATCAGTCCCTATTTCTTCATCACTTCCTCAGCCATTTCTAGTTCCACTCTGAACGTGTCACCTGAGTCAATAGCCCAAGCTGGATAAATTTTCAGCCAATTCTTATAAAGATTTCATCTTAAGTGTTTCTGGAGGGGTTGGAGGAGATGTTCAGAATCTAGGGCTGATGTCAGAAACAATGAATGAAGACTATGATTGTGAATTTCTTATATAATAACATCAGCTTTAGCCTCTGGATCCTTGAGGCAAAAATGGGGACACTTCAAAGGAATGTCCCAAGAGTAGATCCTTTGAACATAAGAAGTCTGGTATTAGAAAACCAAATTGGTTTGGGGTTATTTTCTAGAATAAAGATCAATAAGCTACCTGCTAACATTGCCCATGAGAGCCATGTTTTTTTAAACTGCAAGTTGCCATTCGTTTAGTAGGTCATGATATCAATTTAGTGACCAACATTTGGTAAAACAAAGAATAAAAAAGAAAAGTCTTAATGCATTGTATGTAGTGTTTTGTGAAACTTGATAATATTTATCTCTACAGAAATACATACACAAATATGTCTAAGTATGCATATACTAGGACACGATGTAAAATGTCATTCTGACTATTGGTTGCAGCAAAAAAGATTTGAAAGCCACTGGTCTGGAAAGGCATTATAAAGTAATAATATATAGTAATAATTTTATATTTACTTTTCACATTCAATTTTCTCCTTCTGTCTAAGTTTCTTTTCCAGTTTTGAAGCAGTGGTTTTAAAAAAAAAAGAAACAAATAGTGGTGTATGTGTGGGAGTTGAGGAAGAGTGCTGGTGGGGATGGGTTTCTGGATTTATTTGTGCTACAGTAAAAGAGCCAAGGTAATATTGTTGTCTTTTGAACAAGAGGCTATCATGGTGGTGCTGGTGGGTTTGTTGGGAATTCAAAATTTCTTTTGGGTTGCCTAGGCAACTCGACATATGACTAAAGACACACAATCTTAAAACTGGCTCTCAGAGGTCACCTTATCCTTCCCACCCTGACACAGGAATCCCTCCTGCACCTGCTCATACCACAAATCAGGAAAGGTAGTAAGGCTTTTTATTTGTTGTTGTTGTTGTTATAAAATATATTTCTTAAAATAGATGATAAAAAGATAACCTTTGGAGAGTCATACTTCACCATATAAATATATTTTAAGTTATTAACTGGGATGGAATTTCCCAGAACTCAAACTTTATGGTTTGTAATGGAAGTTTTGAAAAACTTCAGACCAAAATAACCAGGAACTATTTTCCTCTCCACAAAAGGAGCAGGAACAGAATAGAATAGTTCAGTCATAGATGAAAATATCGTTGTGTTCTCACAGTGATCCATTCACTGCTGCTTGCAAGCAAACCCTCTAGAAAGCGAAACAAGTCAGCAACATACCGTTCCCAAGAACTCGCCTCTGAACAGGGATCTTGGGTTCAAATGTCCAAAACGGGGGGTGGGGGAAGGCAATTCCTACCTAGTTTTTTTGTTTGTTTGTTTGTTCCCCTCCCACCCCCAAAGAGATGAGGAAATATTCGTGGGGAGAAATGCTTTGCCCTTTCAGAATTTCATTCCCAGGCATCTCCCTGTGTGAGGCCCCAGGCAAACTCCCTCGTCAGGGACTGCTGTGCTGAGCTCCCATCCCTGGCCCTTTGGTCAGCTCTGAGATTTCAACCAGCTGGGTCACCGCTCCTGCCTCCTGAGCGCGTCCCTCAGTTGAAATCCCTGAATCTTTCCTTGCTCCATTTCCCTATCCTCAGACCAAAGTGAACACGAGACAGGAGATACTCAGGCAGTAACAAACTAAAACTTAGGCTTGGCACAAAAAGCACCTTTACTTCTTGCCTTATCCTGAATGCTGTTCCAGTAAGTGGACTCTTACTGTGTCCCCAAGTGACAGTCTGCTTTGATCTTTCTCACTGGGCTTCTTGCATGGCTTCCTCATCTCATTCTAGTATACTGATTAGTATTGTCCCAGCCTAATCAGCCCAAGATGACCAGGAGAAAATTTGTCTGACATAATCAGGCTTACTGATCCAACACAAGCAAGGAAACTGCACACCAGAGCAACCTCGGGTGTCTCAGCAAACAAAGGAAAAGATAGAACTACTACAGAATTTTGGGAAAGGGTAGAACTTAGGAGATATTTAAATGAAGCAGTAATAGATAAGTATGATATCGGGGATGGGAGGGCAGTGGATGGGGGGGAGGGGGTTGTTACTTTGTGAGGGGTGAAAAGGATAACTATTGCATTGTTTTGTATACCTGAAACTAATAATAATAAAAATAAATGAATGAATAAATAAATAAATAAATAAATAAATAAATAAATAAATAAATAAATAAATAAAGCAGTGTTTGGGAGGCTCAAAGCAAAATGGGCTGTGTCTAAAGGGGTCAACATCAGGTATGGACTGTGAAGCAGACCCAGGTTCCTTTGTCCTTGGAAAGTGCCAAGTTTAGATGGATGTGGACTGTTGTAGCCAGAGAGCCCTTATCTGAATCTCTGCCCCTGGCTTGTGAATTGAAAATGATCTGTTTCAAAGTGCCTTAGACCCTGCCGGCAAGAGTGGGATGTTTTCTTTTTACTGATATCATTTTAAACAGCAAAATCTCTGATAATTTATGATTTTAGGCAATAAAGTTTCT